AGGGTAGTCACCGGTAGTCACCGGACGGTGGATCACGTTTCGCCCCCGGGCTCACCTGCTGGTCACCCTGGGTCTCTCCAGCCTTGGCTGCTGGGAACCTGCTGCTAGAGACATTGATATGGAGATGTTCCTTTGGGTCCCTCCTTCCACGCTTTGCAGTTTACCCAGAAGTGTCATTGCTGGGTCGTGGGGTAATGGTCCAGGTGTTTTGAGGACCTGCATATCCTTGTCCTTAGTGGCTGGACCATTTTGCTGTCCCTTAATGGGTACAACTGGTGCAAAGCTCTTGGTCAGCCTGAAGGCACTAATGCACACGGGTTGGGGTTTGTGGCATTTTAATGTCTTTGAAAACGGTGTCACGCCTTGCCGTAAATGGCCTCCCTCCGTCTTGGTTGTCACTATTTTCCCTCTGGCTTTCTGATTGGTCCTTAAATTCATGGGGCTCCCTACGACCCGCAGCACGTCTGCATGGCTGGCAGGTGTGTTGAGGACGTGCTGACCCTGCAGCCTGCGTGGACCCACACAGCGGTGGGGCCCCACAGAGGTCTTGGTGCCCCGCTGGTGATGGTGGCTCTTGTTCCCCGCCCAGGCGGTCCCCTGCCTTGAAGCCGTCCACGTCACTGTGGCTTCTTTCAGGGACCACCTGTAACACCCACCTGCCTCGCACCGTCTCCCCTCCGTCCTGCTCATCCTTTTGGCCTGGCCTTGGTGTCACTGTCCCTGGTCACTGCAGCTCCACCCTGCCTGCAGACTTCTCTCACCCTCTGTCCCTTCCTGAATCTGCCATGCTTGCTGCCCGGCTGGTCCCTGGCCCCTAGCTCCAGCCTAGGCCCTCCCGGGACGGCTGCCAACTGAACCGTTTCCTCCGAGGTCCTGCCAGCTCTTATGCCGGGGCTGGCCACCTCTTGAGCGTTTCCTGTGACTTCTATTTTCTCTCCCTTTGCCCCTTAATCTGTTTTTCTTTGCTTCCCTGCCCCCAGCTGGAAGGCCTCTACCTTCCTGCTTCCTCCTGAAACCCCCGCCTCTGCGCCCCTCTGCTCCT